ATATATAAAGTTATATCTTAAAAACTAAACTCAGTTTCGCGACAGCCCAGAGAAGGGCCAAGGCCTACTGTACCCATCTCAGTTTCCTTGACCTTGGGCTTTGGGGTGGTCAGCCGGTCAGCTTCCGGTTAGATGGTCAGCCGAACGCGATACGTGTTTAGTTCCCAAGCATGCTTGATACTCATTTATCGACCCACTGAAGGGATGCAAGGCTTAGTCAACCTTTCCCGGCCTGAGGATCGAATCCAGGGACTGTGGCACTGAAGTGCGTAATGCTACCACTCAGCAACGGGAGTCATATAAAGTTATATGCACTTTATATATTATAACTAACTTTAATAATATACATATATATATATATATATATATACAGTTCAGTCACATTAATGTGACCACCACCTATCTTGGACGTCAACGTGAAATAACCAAATATTACAGTCGAGTGTAGTAAAGGATGTCCTAGGGCATCGGAAAGCATTTCAAGCGTTGGCGTAATGCAAAAACGTAGCGATTTATCCGACGTCCAAAAGGGCATGATTATTGACTTTCGGGCCAAGTGTGGAAGCATTTCGGAAACGGCTAATTTTGTGCACTGTTTTCGTGCCACCGTGTTGAAAGTATACAGTGCATGGTAAAATGGCACTATCCAAAATCAGCGGCGTGCCACATGCGGTGCACCTCGGGCTATAGATGGCAGAGGCGAAGGAAAGATACGGAGGCGCGTTCGGGTGAATAGACGTGCAGCTGTTGAGCAACTGACCGCCCAGATGAACCAAGGGGCTACCAAGTGTGTATCCTCAACAACGGTTCAGCGAATGTTGCTGGTCATGGGCCTCCGATGCAGAAGCCTGCTTAATGCATATATGCTGGCTGCTATTCATCGGGGACGAAGGCTGGAATTTGCATGCCAGTAGCGCAACTGGACGTCCACAGAATGGCAACAGGTGGCTTTATTCGATGAATCACTTTTTATGCTCCATCGGACGGATGAACGCTGGCGTATACAGCATGAAACGTCTGAAAGCAAACACCCTGCAACAATTGCCGGAAGGATCCAGGCTGGAGGAGGGAGCATTATGGTTTGGGGAATGTTTTACTGGCATTCACTGGGTGCACTCATCATTGTGGAAGGAGCGATGGATCAGCACAAGTGCGCATCTGTCCTTGCGGAGCATGTCCACCCCTACATGCGAAAGATTTTTCCTTACAAAGATGGCATCTACCAGCGGGATAATGCGAGGCGTTATACAGCTCACAGTGTATGTGCGTAGTACGAAGAGCACAAGGATGAGTTTACCGTACTTCCCTGGCCAGCAAACTCTCCGGATTTAAGCCCAATCGAGAATCTGTGGGACCACCTCTATCGGGTTGCTTGCGCCACATATCCTCAACAGCGTAATTTAGCGCAGCTGGCTATGGCACTGGAGTCGGCATGGCTCAACATCCCAGTGAATACCTTCAGAAACCTAGCTGACTCACTTCCTGCACGTCTCACAGCTGTCCACTCTGGCAAAGGTGGTTATTCTGGCTTTTGACAGGTGGTCACATTAAAGCGACTGGACTGTGTATATATATATAATCTATATAAATTCAATTNGACACACACACACACACACATATATATATATATATATATATATATATATATCACGTCGTTAGATGATCATCGTGTTTACTGTGTAGTTAAGAAGAAAGCCGGAACAAAATGGCGTTTGATATGAACTTCTCAATCATTCACATGCAGTGGTGCAGAGAATAACTTTTAGTCAAATTTACATTGCAAAGAATCATACATTAAAACATAAATTTAGCTATCTCTAGAAGGAATTTTATAAAAAGAATATTTATTTTACTGTAATGTTATTATAATGGCTGAAATATTTATTATATTAATAAATACTATTAACATTTATATATTTTGCTATGAAATCGAACCATAATGCTTTTTTAAACCTAAAAAGGTGGGTAACAGAAAAAATACACAACTTGGTATAAACTTATATGTACTACCAATTTTTTGAAACAGCTGTTATTCATATCTTGATCACTTTTGTGAAATAGCTAAGATGATCAGATTTTAAAACCATGACTTATGAACAAATCAGCGGATCGTCCTCACAGCACACCCATATATTTATGTAAAATATTGATTTATCTATGCAAAGATTCCATTTTATTTTTAATTGATAACAAATATCAGGCTACCTTCTTCATCAAACTCTATTTCATTAATAAGCAGTTTTGACATATTTTATTATATTCTGCATTTATGTCATTATGTATCCACTTATTACACATGTGAAATGAGTGAGTACTTGATTTTTAAAATTTGTTTTTTTTTAAATCAAATTATTTTCTGACGAGCATGGGGTTTTCTTTTTAAAATAATGATTTTTTACTTTTCGCTTATATTCACTGAAATAAAAAATTATCCTTTTCAAAAATACACGCGTATTTCAGATTTTTTTTTATTTAATTATTTTTTCATTGGAAAAATTCGAGGACATTTGATTACATATGTTAAGATTTGAGGAAATTTTCAATTCTCAAAGAGTTCGGAAATTTTTTATTTCCTTTGATTATTTACTTATTTATTTTGTGATTGGATAAATTCGAGACCATTTGAGTACATACGTTAATATTTGAGAACATTTACTGTCCTCAAAAGCGTGAAAGTTTCCAGGGACTACTACTGAAATACGGGGACTATCCTAAAGATTTGGGGACGTCAGGTTAACCTTAAAATATTGAATTGGCATTTGGCTAAAGCAGAAAGTTTAGCAGCAACAGCAGAACATGCATTATAATTCAATTCTTATTTGTGTTAGAATAAATGCTAATTCTGAAGTTTTTTTTTTTACTAAATGAGAAATAAATTCTTACCCATGCGTATCACGCCGATTCCAGCATAACCGGAATCTCTATATTCCAAAGCGGTAAAATAATTCGTCTTCAAAATATGTAATACTTCGGAGGGCCTGAAGTCTGTCAAAATACCGGAGTAAGTTGCTTTATATGTGTAAAAGTTTTTTAAAGTCTTGAAAGCTTTTTCTACTCGATATTTCTTAGATCGAAGAAAGCGTAGCAAAAAAGTATCTTCCATACACGAATGGAGATCAGGTTCATCTATAGGAAAAGTAAAAAGTAGGAGCATAAATTTTCAGAAAAATATGTGGAGATCACTCAAATATAAACAAATTGCAGGATATATACATATGTATAAGTTCAAAATGTAGAGAAAACATGGGAAAAATTACAGAACAATGAAAAAAGGGGGGGGAAGAAAAATAATAATAAAAATAAAAATTGCAAGAAACCGGAAGGAAAAAAAAATCCGAACAAAAGAGGAAAAAAAAATTTTAAAAATACGGAAAATAAAAGATATAATCTTTTTATCAGCTCATACGATTGTATCCGCAAAAAAGAGAATATTTTTTTCCTCTTTTTTTTCGGAATTTTTTTTTTCCGCGATCTCGTTATATTATTTTTATTATTATTTTCTTCCCCCTTTTTTTCATGGTTCTGTAATTTTTCCCATGTTTTCTCTACATTTTGAACTTATTTTATGAGTTCTATTTAATTGCAGCATATGCACAATAAATAAAACTTCATTGTTTTTCTTAATTTTTCTTCGTGTTCCTTTGTATTTATTTATTTATTATATATATATATATCTGTGTGTGTGTGTATACACATAATTTCGAAGCCTAGAAAGGCATTATTTTTTTTCACTTGTATTTTATTTTTGATAGATTTAATATGCACTGTTTCATTATTGAAATTTAATTTTATATTTAATACATAATTGCGTAAGAGTCGGATACGGCAATTCCGCGCCAAATCATGCCTGATGGAAATACGAAAGGAAATAGTAGTAGGCATTTTTTTCTGGTGATAGCAAATTTCATGTTTTACCCTTTCTGGTGCAGTGTAACCTGTCTGGTAAAACTACTTAAAAAAATGTTACTACCACTAGAAATTTAAAATTAATTGCTGTTAAAATTTTGTAAGCATTGTGTTTTCTTTTTAATTTTTGTTTTGTTTGTTAATTGTTTTTAAAATTTTGCTTTGTATTCATTAAACAACAAACAGCTATTATAGTATTTCAATTTAGACTGCTCTGTCTAAGTTGCACTGGATAATGTCCCGATTGACAAAATATTTCTAGCGAACTTTGGGGCTCCAGAAAGGATCAATGTATGATCATTAATGAAGCAATTTTGATTTAAATTTATGTTATCTAATTCTAGATGCATATGACCTAAAATAAAATACTACTTCGTATTAGTTTTCAGAGGAGAAGGTTTCAAAGAGTTGCAAAACTATTCACAGTTTTGAAAGTTGCAATTTTCTCAACTACTTTATAAAATCGGAATAACTTTTTTTCTCAACTGGTTAATTTACAGTTGAGAAAATATTATTTATAATCTCAATAAATACTACTAAGTTTGAAGAAATGCTAAGTTATTCTTTCTTTCTTTATTTATAAAAAAATTGGGCACCTGGGCCGCGCAGAAGGCCCATGTCCCATACATCATGAAATTGTATAAAAAGTTAAAATAAAAGACAATTTGAGTTCAGCAGTCTATGGGGTGGCTGTTACAGAAATTTTAAGTTACATACCTGTCAACTTTTTTTTTCATTTCAAAAGTTATTTTATAGTGGTATTGAAATAAAAAATTCTTTACCTCAGTGATATTGAAATAATAATATTCTGTGCAATAGTGATATTGAAATTAAAAAGTTCTTTATTATTGTGATATTGAAATAAAAAAGTTCCTTACGACAGTGTTATTGAAATAAAAAAGTTATTTACTATTGTGATATTGAAATGAAAAAGTTCTTTACCATAGTGATATTGAAATAAGAAAGTTCTTTACCATAATGATATTGAAATAAAAAAGTTCTTTAGCATAGTGATATTAAAATAAAATAAAAGTTCTTTACAATAGTGATATTGAAATAAAAATTAGAAATTAAATTTTAGGAAAAAAAAATTTTATAATTTGCCAGAGCTTAAACACAAAAGACGATTATCATTTATTCGTATACACGTTCAATTCATTCATTTGTAGTGGAGGTTGAAATCAATTTAAATTAAATTTAAAATTCCAAATAAAGAGCAAAAAGTTTTGTTATAATTTTTAATATAAAACAAAAAGTTAACAGCTAAGTTTAATAAGAAAAACAACTATCTAAGAGAGTGACAGTTTAGCAATATTATTTTGTTTACACCAAATAGATATTTCTTTTTGTAATTTACCACTAGTGCTTTAACACGTTCACGCCGGGGTGACCCACTGGTGGGCCACGCTAGATTTTCTCATCTTGGCGACGCACCGGAGTAAAAACTGGTAACAATAAATTTAATTTTTTAGTTTTTCTTTCGGGAATTATAAAAATCCATAACTACCAATTGTTTTTAACGGATGCAATTTTTATATAGAATTGCTTCTTTGATGTGATAAATTTCATTACAGTGAATTGTTATTGTTGAGAATAGATTATTATCTAATATCCCGAGTATTATCTAATATTGAAATAGTTCTTCTACCAGTATTCTCACTTTTCCCGGCATGAACGTGTTAAAGAGAGACTAATATGTAATGTCAGATTCAAGTATAAATATTTATATAATTAATACATAGTAGTATATAGATAGTGGTAATTTCAATAAAGCCTAAATTAATGGTATGCTGTAGTTGCTAATCCTTCAAATAAAAAGCAAGCATTTTTACATTTGTGTCAAAGAAAGCAGTCTATCAGTCTGAAAACTGCGTTTGTATTAAATTATGGATAAGATAAAAAATTTCTAAGCTTGATACCTTTTAAATTGTTGAAATATTAATAAACAAGTAAAATCTACAGCTTATAGAATTTTTGGTAATTATTTTAACATTTTATGAGCCACACCATGGATGACTCAAAAATGAGTTTTATATAAGTTTTGAATTGTTTATATGCAGAGGTGTGGTAAGTAATTTGGAATCAAATTTACAATACAAAGAATAATAGTTTAAAAAAAAAACTTTTTTATCACTAGAAAAATTTTTCTCAAAAAGTTAAAAAAATTGCCAGTATTATTTAACGTTATAACATCGGCTATTAAAGTTTTAAAAAAAAGTGTAGAATAGAAAGAAGGAAGTGCCGGAATTTGGCAGTTTTTTTTATAGTAAAATACACTAACTTTTGATCAGACTTCTTAAATTTTTTAAGCTTTCTGCTCGGACCTCTTCACTTTCTCCCAATTCTACTTGAGCTTTTCTGGCAATTTCAGGTGGTATACCATCAATTAAATACTTCATAAAAGTCATTTCGTTGTTTTTCTGTGGAAAAAAATGATTTTAGTGGTAAAATTATGCTTCCAAACTAAAAACCAGTAAATTATTTAACCATACATCTACAAAGCAATTGAACACGTTGATGAGATTGTATTATACAGCAATGATCCGCCCAATGCTCACCTATGCCTCACCTGCCAGGACAACGATACCTCAACATCTACTGAAGAAATTAAACCTATGCCGAAACAAGATCCGTAGAAAAATAACCTGTGCCAGATGGTTCATCCGGAATACCAATATACATACGGACCTCAAAATACCAACTCTATCACAGCATATATACGAGCTGAACGCAAATTTTTTCGATAAAGCCATAGAATGTAAAACAGCAAATTTTAATGAAATCTTTAAATTTGAAAATTATAGCAAAAATAAATGCTACAGAACAATAGCAGCACATTTCACATCCGACGCCTCATATCATAACTATCAAAACAAATAATTTCATCAACCTGCCTTAAAATAGCGTTTCCTCAGGCTGATATAACTCTGAACAACTCCAAAATCAAACTAACACAGTTTAGAGAAAGCTGCTCATTTTATTTTTTGATTCTTTTTTAGTTATTCGAGCAAAGTGCTTGAGACATTCATAAAAGCAACAACTCCACTGCCTGCTTACCTCAATGATCAATCAATACAGTGCTAAAATTCCAGATGAATGGGATAGGGGTCGCTTCGCTTCCCAGGTGCCCAATAAAATCAAAACACTAGAACTAGTGTAGTTGTATTAGGAAAAACTTTTTTTCTAGTTACAAGATTTCATCCCGTTGTGTTGTCAATGTGGTCACGCGCAAGTCAAACACCCATTACTCTATTTAAAAAATATTATATTTGTATTTTATAAAGAAAATGCTTAGTCATTTGAAAATTCCCCTGAATTTCTTAAATTCAAAGGGAGGATTGTTTAACCTGTTAGTGCCCAGCGTCATACTTATAGGACAGTTTCCTTTTACAAAAACATATATTGTGGTAGGACAATTGTTTCAGTTTTGTCTTTTATCTAGGAGAATTTAGAGATTCCCTTTCGCCATAATTTAATATTGATTTAAGTTTCTATTACTAGATCTTATAAGGTGAAGGGACATTTCGAAATGCAATGGTAAAAAACAATTGATATTAGCCATTTAGTTGAATAACATATTATACCACTTTTTTCATAAAGCCACTTTTTGCACCACTTCAACATAAAATGTCGGGATAAAACGGGTTAAGGAGGATTGTTGAACTCAAAAGTGCTAAATAACAATTAAAAAATGCATGTGTATGAAAAGTAATCATGCATACGGATCATGCAAGAAAATCTTAATCTAAATTTTTTTTTCCATAATGCCCACCCGATTGACTCTAGTCATTTAGGTATCAGTTGGGCAGATTTGTTGATCACTCTTTCAGAGGCACCATATTAGGTGGGGCAACGACGCTCCCACTGTAAGGACAGATAGCACAGAGAATGCGAGAACTTCCATGCCTTGTCCGTGATTCGAACCCAGGACCTTTTTGATGTAATGTCAACTCCCTGAACCCCTTGACAGTCCGGTCGGCATCTTAATCTAAATAAAATCCACATAATTAAAAATAAGGTTTAAATTAAACCTGAAAATACCTTTGAAAATTGAAAATAATCTTATATGAAAATAGGCATGATAGTTTACAAAGGTCCCGGTCACCTAATTGTTAAATTTCAAAAATATCAGTTTTAATCAGTTTAACGAAAATCAGTTTTATATTTATGTTCTTAAAACATTTTGCTTTTTGATTCAAAATGTATAAAAATTTAAGGGCATTGTTAAAAATCTAAATATTTTCTGGTTTGACTTGGTAAAAATATAACCGCAGTGAACATTGCATATCGAATTGAAACTTGGAAGTACTAATAGAAAATTTTCATGTTTCAACGGAAAAAAACAGATATGATACTCTCGTGATACNAAAATTGTCCACCCTAACGTGCACACATAGCAAATATTTTGAATGCTGAAAATGTCTGTTGCTTCTCGTACTAGGCAGGGGGCGAGAGAATGTAAGGAATAATTCGAACTATATTGACAAAATTTATAATTAATTGTTCTCTTGTATTCATCCACATTTACGCTAAGCAAAATTTGAAATTACCAACACTGCTATCCCGAATTACTATTTTTCTGCAAGCATTTACGCGTTATGAATATATTGGAAAAAGAGAAGAAATTCTTACATTGTAATCCATCAGATCTCAGTAGCTTTTAAAAATTTTCCAGCATCAGAGATATTATGACCTGTTTTAATATGAAAATGACGAACAACTCCAGGAACAACTTTTCCAAGTCTGCGTTTCTTGGGAAAATTTATTCTAGTGGTAGCTAAGTTAATGCCTTAATGAATGTTTTAAATTTCAATTGCATTTCCAAACCACTGCATTTAAACGATGCAGAAGTTCATATAAAACGGTGCTTCAATATGATATTGACGGACAATCGCTCCTAAATTGTAAGCAAAATTACCAAATTTTTTAAATGCTTTAGTTCTACACGCCTGCGACTCTATAAAAAGAGATTAAAAAAATTTCGTGGAAGTTGGCAGACCTATACATCGTATCCCAATCACATGGTAGCATATTTGATAAAAAAAAGTTTCTTATCCAAAATCTATAATTGTTTTAGTCACTTTAATTGTTCAGGTATCAAATAGATTACATGCTATTAACGATAACATTTTTTTTAGTTTATGAAAGAATGTATTTAAAGATAAATATCAGGATTTAAACCAATAATGGTATATTAAGGTGTCTTTTTTCACATTTTATCTGAATTTGGCAATGGCAAGACAGAATACCACATGATTATACACAAAGATAATAAATTTTTTTTCAAATCACCTTTTTTTAATAATTCGAGTAAATTCATCGCTTCCTACAACAAAACAACTCAACATGGTTTCCTAAAAGGATATATATATATATATATATATATATACGAGATATTTCCGGGTTGGAGTATTTAAAAGTAACTCGCCAAAAATAGATTAACAGGTTCACGTCGGGCTTACGGGCGGTGGGTTACGATAGATTGTCTCATCTTGGCAGCGCACCGGAGTAAAAACTGGTAACAATAAATTTCATTTTTTAGTTTTTTCCGGGAATAATAAAAATCCATAACTACCAATTGTTTTTAACGGATGCAATTTTTATATTGAATTTCTTCATTGTCGTGATAAATTTCCTTACAGTGAATTGCTATTGCTAAGAATAGATTAACTCCTCCCGAATATTATCTAATATTGAAATAGTTCTTCTACCAGTATTTTCACGTTTCCCCGGCGTGAGCGTGTTAAAATAAATTAATTATCTCTAAGTACATTAATAATAGTCTGGTGCTGATATCTGGTTTATAAATTTAGAAATAAGCAAGCCTTCGAGCCTAAGAAATAGATTGTTTTAACACGCTCACGCCGGGGAAACGTGCAAATACTGGTAGAAGAACTATTTCAATATTAGATAATATTCGGGAGGAGTTAATCTATTCTCAACAATAACAATTTACTGTAAGGAAATATATCACGGCGATTCATAAACAATTCAATATAAAAATTGCATCCGTTAAAAACAATTGGTAGTTATGAATTTTTATTATTCTCGGAAAAAAACTAAAAAATTAAATTTATTGTTAGCAGTTTTTACTCCGGTGCACTGCCAAAATGAGACAATCTAGCGTAACCCACCGGTGGGTCACCCAGGCGTAAACGTGTTAAACTATGTGTCAGCAGTCATCAAAAATTTATATTTGCGGTATACCCAAAAGTGAAAAATGAATAGACAAATTATACATTTACTTAGTTTTCTGTAATGTTTTTGAATTAAAAATAATAGATATTATTATGTCCGTTTTCTTCAAAATCATGAGACCATTAAGGGATTAAAGTGATAGCGTAGTAATAATTAACATTTAAGAGTGATGAAACATAAGTAGTCCCGTTAATTTTTGTCAATAATATATGAACCACTAAAAATGTAACCTTTTAACCCCTTGAGAGCTCGAGTTAATCCGAGCGCGCTAAACAGGCCAAATTGGTGCACTCTCGAGATAATTCGAGAGGCGTTGCATTTTATGCTGCTATAATTTTTCACACTTGAATATAATCGAGAATTGAAAGTAACAATGTGAGAACTAAGAAAAAAAATCGTTTTATTGACATTTATCATTTACATAAGATAGTAAGCTATAACACTTATTTATTCAAGAATAAAATAGTATACAGAGATGCCAATTTGCTCTGGACGGCAGATATATATTGTAAAGGGGTAGTTTATCAATTGTGATTCTTGGTTTAATAAAGTAAATTTAGTAGATTTTTTTCCACCACTCGTTCTAAATAATTCGTAGTTTTATATAATTTACCACTTTAGAGTACTTATGGTTATCTGCCAACTCTTCTAGATATTCCCAAAGATTTTATTGTCATATTGAAAGTGGTATTCATACTCAGGTTATTCCAATTAACTTTTTGAATTATGATGATAATTATAAATGATTTTGATCACCACTATATATAAATAATTACATCAAATCTATACATACCCTCCAACTGCTACGGAATTTCCGTAGTTTCAGAAATCCTCTTTTCAGACGGTAGCAAAATCAATGTTTTAATATTTAAAAAAAAATTAATTTTAGCGTAACTTGTCCACTATTACTTATAAAAGTGCAGGCCATATGGCTAGATTCTTAAGTTCTGATAAAAGTTTTATGAGAGATCCATTTGCTTTAAAAATTTCTACTTTGGTTCGCTACCATTAGAAAGAATTATTTTCAAAATCCTCATAAGTTGGAGGGTATGTATATAAAAGCATAATAATCCTTGCGCAAGCGAATTTCAACGGGATCAAAATATAAATATATTTTTTAGTCAGATTGTTTATCGTTTTACAACCACTCTGAAAATCCATTTTCGAAAAGAGTGAAAGTTGGCAGGTATGCTTATGTCTGTAAACAAATCTGTACTCCTTCTTCAAACCGGAGAAAGGACCAAAGGTGATCTCTTGAAACGGGAATTATATACACCCCCCCACACACACACACTGTATATTAGGACTATCACATCCAGTACAAACTGAATTGTAACTTCCGCTTCTGAGTTTTCGCTCGCCTATCAACTCATTGTCAACATAACAGGCGCCCTCGGACATAATAACAGTGAAAGAGTCAATTGTCGGCTTCGCGGACAGGCACTCTGTATGCAACGCCAGTTCAAGTTCCAAGCACTTAGGTCATGCTATACATTTTAAAAAGCAAGCGAAAATAGTCAAATATTTGCAAAATTTACTTTGTAGTTATTTACAGTATTTTTTATTATTTTGGCGTGTCTCGAGCTGTTGGCATCTCTGAATATAGCCTTTTTCCATGGAACAAAATCGCAGTGTATCAAAATTGTCCACCAAAAGAAAAGACAATGTCCTAAAGTGTGTTTTTTTACATTTAAAAAATTGATTATTTTTTTTTTTGGCTGGTTTTTTTCAAAAAATCTGTGCGTTAAGGGGTTAAAATAAGAGGTCAAAAGAACAAATTATATTCGAATCACAAAAACACCAATCCAAAGTTATATATACTTTTAAATATAAGTAATACAAAACTTACATATAGCATACATTTTAAGTCTAGAGATTTCGGATATTTAAAATATAAATATAAACTCCGTTGAAGTGATGATTCTTACAGATGCAGGAGTAGATAAATAAAAAATTTGAATAGACAATACGGAAAGAAATTAACATTTGAATTAAAATTATATATTTAACACACAGATGACCAGCTACGAAATATATAATTTTTAATAATTTACGTCTGCATACTTCTATTGTCGTACAACAGGAATATATAATTTATCAAAATATTGATACACGGTGAAGTAAGGGCTATTTTGATGTGTGATTCAAATTTAAAATATTTAGTTGTAAAAAAAGTGAAACTTCATATTTTTTTTCAATAATTCTTTATAGCTACTCTATTTTAATAAGGAATAATTTCATTGATGAAAATTTGTCCGAAAATAATAAATATTTCAGCTTACTCGGTTTCGAAGTTTCTCCATTTGATGCTTCTGTATTAAACAATGAAAGAAGGACTTATGAAAACATCTGACCTACTTTCAAGAACGATGTTTTTTAATTTATCATTTTCATGCATTTTTTCGACGAAAAAAAAATGAACCGATTATCAATTTATCAGTTTCGTTTCAAGGTTGCGATCTCATTTTCATGCTTAGATTTGATATCGCTGAACACTTATCATAACATATGCCGTTTACATGTGGTTCTCTCAAAACTTTATTGATCTACTGGCTTGTTGTTGGTATTAGCCCGTTTTATCCCGACTTTTTATATTGAAGTGGTGCAAAAAGTGGTACAATATGTTATTGAACTAAATAGCTAATATCAACTATTTGTTACCATTTCAGTTCGAAATGTCCCTGCACCTTATAATTATGCATCTAGTGATAGAAACTTAAATTTTAACACCTTTTTGGATGAGAAACGCAGATCATATGAATTTCAAAATTGAAATGCATTTTTTTTTTTTTTTTTTTTTTTTTTTTTTTGCTTTAATATAAGAAATTATGTGTCGTATGAAATAAAATTTTGAAGGACTAAAATTACATTAAAACATTAACTTTACCAACATTAGAATAAATTTTTACAATTAACGTAGGAGGTTAGCAGCCTTTCTTAAATTTCAAAGGCCGGTAGAAGTTGCTCTAGACTACAGCGTTGTATAAAGAGAGAGTGTCAGAGGTGAATTTTTCCGATAGCATACCTGCCAACTCTTCCGGATTTTCCGGAAGATTTTATTTTCATATTTAAAGTGGTAGCAATACTCATGTTATTCCAATTAGCTTTTTGAATTATGACAATATTTATAAATGAATTTGACCACCACTACATATAAATAATTAAAATAAATATATAAAAGCACAATAAATCTTGCGGAAGCGAGTATCAATGGGATCAAAATATAAATATATTTATGAGTCAGATTGTTTTTCGTTTATTGTTTTACAACCACTCTGAAAATCCATTTCTCAGAAAGGGTGAAAGTTAGCAGGTATGCTCTCGGGATTTGAATGTCAAGTGTACAAAGGAATTTGTAAAAAAATTTTCTGGCTTTTTACCGAATATTTTTCTCATATAATTAAACTGGTAACAAATTCTCTGCGAGCTACTTTTAAAAGGAGATTTTGCCCTTAAAGACGCACCTCGTTCAGGCCATCCAGTTAAATTCGATGAAAGGCAACTGAACCAACTCTTACTAGAAAAAAAAACAAAGAAACTGACTGAAAGAATGGAATGCCCTCACACACAACTAAAAGAAGAAGAAAAAAAAATGATGGAAATTTACAAAAATAATAATAATGTTCAATAATTAATAATCAGTTGACTAATATTAAATAAATAAAAAAAAGATTATTGTCCAAGATGGCAACTTGTACTGCTTTTAACCCTTTCGCGCCGACTGTCACAAATATGTGACAGCATAAAACCGCATCAATCAGGTAAAAATATAAAACT